ACCCAATCCTGCCAGCCACAGGAAAGAGCTTTGAAAAAGGTCTGGGTAAGGACTTTGAACAAGCAACATGATTCAGCAATGGATTGATGAATGCAGCAAAGTGCAGTTCTAAAATGCAGCTCCATCACCTTTAGAATAAGACACAAATGTGTATTTCTACATCTCAAAAAGCACAAATAGAAATCACCCTTATGTGGATGGAATACAGCCCTTTTGAATTGCTCATTCTTTTAAAGGAGAGATTTCTCCTAAATTGAAGATTTTCCATTTGGAATTTACTGACTACAAGAAATCTCAAGCAATTACAGCCTCTGAAGACTGCAAACCATCTTCTAATTATGAAGGTATGTGCAATCCTGTAAATAAGGCTGGAATCAACTTGGTCTCAAAAAAAAAAAAAAAAAAAAAAGAGGCTTTAGATATAATTTCAAACTATTTACTTACTGAAATGGAATTTTCTGTGCTTGCCAAAATGAATCCCATTCAGTGTGATGCAACAGGTGTTGGAATTCCAGCAGCCGCCTGCAACCCACATCTGGTAATGGTTAGGAGTTAAAAGGAAGTTCTGTAAGAACTGCTCATGTATAAAAACTATTCATCAGTCAGATCTATGGGCCATATTCACCCACCCGCTTGCACTGTGCATAGCTCAGATTTTTATTTCGTTTACAGAAAACGTAATTCTGCTCCTCATAAAGTCTTAGGAATCTCAGGCACTTGAGAGCATGTGGGGGATTGGTGTTGGCCATGCTGGTGGCAGAAAGGTGAGGGAGGGACAGAGGGTTAGGGAACAAGGTGTGAATGCATCTGTATTGGTTCTGACTGGATCTAATTCACACCCTGATCACTTCTCATCATTACTCTGCAGGAGAAGGAATCCTCCCCTATTGTCCCAAATACCTCATTAAAAAACCTGTGCAATGTGAAAATTATCAGACAGGGCTTTATCAAGCAAAAAATAATAATTTCCAAGTACTGCCACCCACAGCTGGGAATCCTTCTGCTTTTTCCCCTCACTTCAATTGCCAGATTGAACTCAGTAAGACAACTCACAGGAAACAAGTGGTTGGTCCATGCCATCCATAATTAGCCCTTGCTAACTGCCTCAGCATGAGTGGTGTCACTAACTTGTCACTCAGATGATCAGATCCAAAGGTATAAAAGGTAATTCTCACTTCTTTAAAGATTTTAATACAAGTGAATTGTGCATAAAAGATACTGTACTAAATTCAAGGCTATTAATCATTGAGTTTTGTGCTAAGTCCTGTACACACTAGATTTCAGTAGGTGGGTGAAAAATAAAAAAGTCATAATTTTCAGAAACATTTCTCCCCCTTTCCCAATGGAAAAACATTCATCTCAGTCAGAGAGGCCAGACAAGAGTCAGACAAGAACAAGAACAAGGCCTTAGTTAATTTTTACAGTGTTATATTCACGGTAAAAGAGCCACACCTATTCTTTAACTCAGAGTTTTGTTCTCCCTTTGTGTTTCTGTGACAGCCAAACAGAGATAGCAAAAGCAGAAACTGATAACTGCAAAGTGTCACAGGCTTTGCCACACTCCTGCAACTCACCAGCACTGAGGAAAACGTTTTAACAGAGACTACATCAGTCCAGACAGAGTGACAGAAACCAGACTGATCCTGCTCCCCAGGAATACAAACATCTCTAGAAGAAATTATAAAGAAAGGATAATTAAAGAGCACTTTTCAACTAAGACTGTCATCTAAGTAGCATATAACATGATAATGCTATTGAGAACATAATTATTAAATAATTCTGTCAAAAAACGTTATTATTCACCTACAGAACAGGAGAGTCTGATCTTTCACAGTAAAATAACATTTTAATTCCTGACAAAGTGAATGAAATATTACTAGGAAAGCATTCAAATGGAGGATTTTGAATGATTTAGAAGTAAGAGCACTATGCTTATCAGAAGGGGCTTGTCATTCAGATGTTTAGTCAGAAATAATTTCCCAATTCTCAGCTCCTACAGGACTGGTGAAATACAATTTGTGTATAGTCAGACTGAACAGTAGAGCCACATCCCATATGCAAGAGATATTAAACAAAGGGATTAAGTTTTTATATCCTACATGCCATCTCCAAACATACAGTCTATATAAATGAAAAAATTAGTTATATCTCAAGGGGCAATCATAACATAGAAAATTTAAGATCTTGAATTAGCAGAAACTCAGATTTTGCATATACATTATCACAGAAATATTTTAGAAGTAACTGATCAGAGGCATTTGAGCCCACTCTGCAAAACTTGTGCTTGCTGTACAGACCACACACAAATGCAGCGTAAGAAACAACCTAAAATATTTTCTGTGAGTTGAGCAGGAATGCTCACATAATCACTGGAAATGCTCTTAATTGGTGTGGCTCAGTGGTGCATTTCAGAGCTGTTAGATCTTCTGCCGCCCTGGAACTCTTTTCATGTCCTGGCAATCCCAGCCCAGCCAGCAGTTTGTTTATCATATTCACTATGAATTTCCGGATCTCCAACAAAGTGGTATTTACTCCGAGGCAGGGAAGACTGCAGTAATCCAATAAGTTCTCATTAGCCTAAAATGCAAAAACATCTGCTGGGGTCATGAGCTGCTTTGCTGTTGATGAGCACAGGCTCAGCTCCCTTTGCAGCTCATGTGAACAAAGAGTTGAGGATTTGGGGTGTGGGGAGGGGACAAGCGAACCTCGGGGATTTCCAGAGCTGCAGCTCCACCCCAGAGCGCCCTGGGCAGGAGGGATCCTGCCTTACCTTGACCCCGGAACCCCCATTGCAGGGAGCACAGGAATTACAGGAAAAAAAAGCCTTGACTCAGCCCTCCCTAGCTGGTGGTCAGGGTTGGCACTGAGGAGAATGTGACCACAGCTCCCCCCGACACACCAGCACCCAGGCAGGGCAAGCTGCAGGGTAAACCCAGCCTAAAAGCTTTGCCAATCTCTTCTTAAACAACCAAGAGTTTTGCAAGGGACAAATACTTCCATTTCTGAGCTCCCCCTTCCTCCCAGGCTCTCACCCACCTGGCTCAATTCGCAACTGCTTTCAGTTTTTGGAGGAAGAAAAAAAATATCCTTTCCCCCAAAAAAGCACTTTAACACACAGGAATGTTAACAACTGGTCAAGAACTTCTGGTCTAAAAGATTAATAAATAGGTAATAGGTCCTGCATAAGTTCAGACAAAACAAAACTAAATCTACATTGATAGAAGTTACAGTAGGGAGAACATTACTAATTCCACTGGGGAAAAAAAAAGACACACAACCTGAATAAAAGGAGCCCTTAATTTGTTTAGGATTCCAACCGATTTAGAGCATGTGACACTGTCAGAAAATAAGTGGAAAATACAAAATAAGTGGTGTCACATCTGTTTAGCTCCTGCTCCAGTGATTCTGCAGTTCTTTGTTGTTGTTTGTACAGTGTTAAATGACAGCGGCCAATTCAGTGGCTATTTCAAGGTGGAGGAGCCTTAAACACTTCTGCAAAGAGCCAAAACAGGACCACTTATAACATTTGTGAAAATCAAGAAGAAAAAGCCCCAGTTCAAGCTAGTTTAAAACCCTTTCCTGGAGAGGCCGAGCTGCTTTAGCTAACACTTGTTGTACCATTTGTACAAAGAATTACACAAGTGTTCAGTTTAAAGAATGACCAGAATGCTGAAATTAATGCCTCTGATTCTTCTGAAACAATGAGTGCACATCCCCGGGCACAGAATTGTTGTGTAGCAGAGTTTGGCTTCAGCCCCAGGACTCCCCTTTGCCTCGTGGGAGGATAACGAGTGCAGCGAGTGCCGCCTGCAGCAGCGGGGCTGAACTACTGCCCCCGCAAGATTTACAGCCTTTAATTGTGCTCACAGCAAGCACCTCCCCAGGGGGAGAACCAGCAACATTCCACTGCTTTTCAGAGGGAAAATCGGCATTGCTGGTTGTTGCTTAAGTAACGTTTAGGTGTAGGTATACACACCCAATAGTATCTCAAGGGCAGAAAGTCGCTTGACTGCAAAGGATGGGTTTAATTTAAAAGTATTTCTTAAAAGAAAAATACTTTTTCAGACCACCAGTGAGGCGTATCATTAAGGAATTCTAGGAAAGACATTCTGATATGCCTGCGAAGAGACATTATTATCAAGACACTAATGATTTCAATTTCATCCCTCCCCTCTCTTATTTAAGACGACCCTTCCCAACTTTCAGTCTCAGAACTGACAAACGGATGATAAAGAGGTTAAAGGTGTGAGGACACACAGCTCAGCAATAATCTAAACCAGTTTCATCATGCTGGAGCCCTTCTACCTACATCTCCATCCACCAGAACTAACCAGCCCAAACAGTTACAGCCAAGCTGACTTTGCTGGGCAAAGTTCCCCATCCAGTGGCCAAATTCATGGATGCAGCTCATGCTCCTGCCCCAGAGCTTGATGCAGCTGCACTCATCCACACTGCTGATGTGCTGGATTGCAGCCACGCAGGTGAACTGCCAGGTGCAGATCATGTGAGGAAAAACAAATAACAGATGGATATCCTGAAGTAACACTTGTTCACAGAAAAGCTACTGTTAAAAAAATGACACTGAGATTGTATGCAAGGAGTAGGCCAAAAAGCCTTATAGACACAGCTTAAGTGAGAAATGTGAAAAATCATCACAGAATGAGGTTCCACAGGTTAAAAAATACAGGTTACAGCACATATTCCAGAGCAAAATGCATTCCACATAGAGATAAGGAAAGGATATTGAAGAAACATGCCAGAAGTGGCTTGTATGTTCCTAGCACAGCACATGCATTCAGTGATCAGGTTTGTGGTTTCTTTCCCCACTCCCAATCCTTTGGCATCAGCACTTGGGGTGCTCATGGCTCAGCACTGGCACCACTTGGTGTGTACAAGTGCATCACTGGATCACTGTGCAGTATTAGTCCTAAGTAATGCCAGATGGAAACAAAAGTTGCTGTAGGAGATCAGTGAACATACTCAAACTTGAAGGCTACTGATAGAGCAGTGGAGAATAGTCTTTATTATTAAAAATAATAAAATCCTTAAAGGCGAGTCAGTTCTATACAAAAGCATTTGTATTTTCAATAATTTATTTACAATGCAATTAGGCAAAAAAAGAAGTGAGAAGTTAACAAAACTTCTCATTTGTTAAAAGTGACCAGGCTCCTTCCAAGCAAGTGCTTTATACCCACCCAGCACATCCAGAAATAAGGGACAAATCACAGTTCCTGCAGAAGTTGTTCAGTGAGCAACCAATGCTCAGGCTGTAATTAGCACACAGGTCAGATTTGCCAGGAATAGCACTTTTTATCATTTACCTTTCAGTACTGTCAGTGCAGAAAGGGATGGAAAACCTGTTGCAGAAATCCCCATTAAAAGCGAGCAGCGATGTCTCCCAGTGGGACAGCCTGCAGAACAATTATACAATTCCTCTATCAGTGAGCACCCCTGCTGCTGCTGGCTCCACTGAAAAACTGGGCAAGTTGTATGTCCAAACCAGAAATAAAAGGATAAGAAGTCTGCTGGCTTTGAGTTAGTACCTACCCAGTAGTAAAACAATACAGAAACTCAGTTGAAATACCAGCGTTTTACATCATCTACTCCATGATTCTCTTCACACACATATTGGTTATGCAGAGAAACTTCTTTACTGGCTTCAAACGACAGGTTCTGCACATCTGTGAAGCTCCTGGAACACATGAAGCTAAATCAGTGACTCTGAAGGACAATAACTGCTTTAGCCCAAAAACTACATGCCTGGACATGTGCATCTTTCTCCTACTATGGCCCCACCAGAAGAAAACTAATGTAAAATGTGAATTTTCTTCTATAAAGCAAGAACTAGGAGGAGAGATGGGGCAGTCTGCAGGAGGGGAGAGATGAGTGACTTAATGGTCTATTAATCTTCACAGATTTTAACTCTAATCTCTTCTGGGGCAATGAAGGAAGGGAAGGACATTAGTCATGCTTTACCTCTTCTTCATCCTCCCAGGGATGCTTTGTATTTGTTGTCACAACAGCTGAGGAGAAAACCCTCCTCTGTGCTCCTTGTGCCTTCTCAAGGATGACACATTTGCAGGGTTGCTATTAAAGACACTTTGCAGCTCACTTTTCTGTCTCCTGGGTTTCTCCACTCCTACATACCTAAACTTACCAAGTCTGTTCTTGCTCAGTGAAATTCTCAGCTGAAGTGTCAGAGAATGGCACACTGAGGTGGCTCACCTGGAGTACAAACCCAACCCCAAACATCCTACTGTGACTGCAGGCAGGGCAGGGACAGAAATACAGATGAGTGCTACAAAGAGAATTACACTTAGTGCTACCAAACCCTCAGTTAACCCCCTTCAGCCTGAGATCTGGATATATTCTGGCAAGGGCTATAGATTTTCCTCCAAATATTTAGTCAACAAGCCTTTCCACATAATTATTGTGATACCTTTGAAGCTCTTTACTCAGTTGCTGAGACACTTCTTGAAGCTCTTTCAGCGCACCAAGTGCTTTTGCACTGTCCTCTGAGTGGTTTGGCATAACTTCTGTCAGAAGCTCCTGTGTGATCATTAATTGCTTTCCCAGTTCATCTGGAAGATAAGAAGTTAAAGGTATTATAAAAAATGAGAGTGCCACCAGTTAATACAAGATATCAACACCTGGAGTAACCCAGAGATATATTGCTCAGCTTTCACAAAAACACTGTGAAACCGTGAAAGCCAAATTATTTTTCACTGTTGTGACCAGCAGCAGGCTATTAAAATTGCTCATCAAGCTCTCTTTTAGAATATGTCAAAGATTTTTTAAGAGAAATGTATGAAGAAAAAAACAAGGTTTAGACACCCAAAATTCCCTGGCCAGTTTCATGTATTGCTGTTGGCATGCACCCCCTCCATGAAATTTATTCAGTCATTTCCTTCAATATTCAAAATGCAGAAATAAAAAAATGCACCTATTTCTTTCTAGTCTTCTCACAAGAATTCTAAGTTCTTCAATAAATGTTTTGCATTTGTATTAAAGTGCAAGATTAGTGTGAATTATTTAAGAATCTTGTTTTTTTGCAGACCAGCAGTTCAAAAAGGTAATATTTTGTCCAGACTTCAGTACAAAATGCATATACTGATTTATTAAATATTCTCTGATTCAAGACGGCACACAATGATATTTAAGCTCCAGTTCTGCAAGAAACATGAGCGAGTCTGCCCAGGTGACTCTGTCTCTCAAACACAGAAACAAGAAAGATCAGAGCATTCCTACAACTTGTTTACACAGCAGGAAAAACAAAGGGGGAGGAATGCCATGAATACAGTTAAAATACTTAGAAACCTGCTAAAGAAGGTACAGAGGTAAGAATTACACACAGCACAACATGTGATAATTGCTGCAGCTCAGTGTCCACAGGCTCTAAGAGCACACAGAATTCCTCCAGTGGCAGATGCAGCAGTAACAACATGAGAAGCGTTTTTAGCATAAACTCACTATAAATTAAAGCTAATTTGATAAATCAAATTTTCATACCAAGGTAGGTTTGCTTATCTCCTTCTATGTGAATGTTCTTTATGGGCAATTCATGTCTTGTAGCATCCAGGGAAGCTGCAAAGCTTTTGTACTGCTCTTTAAACTTTTCACAGACAGCAATGAGGGGAGACAGCACCTCTATCTGAAAGAGACACACTGAATAACACTTCTCCAAAAGCACATCTTCTGTAATTACACACCTGGCTCACTACAAAAAAACACATTATGATGAAAATAAATACCACTCTGAAATGCTTATTGACAAGAGTAATTCACAAAGTCTGTGGTACAATAATCCTGTTAAACTGTTTATGTTTTCCTCTTACTATGGTCCTCAGTGCCAATTCCCTTGTTTCTGTAGCTCAGAGAAGATATTGGCAACACAGCCAGCAAAGTGTTTTAAATCAGATCCTTTGACTGTAATTAACAAGCATGTTCTCCAAAAGCCTTGTGTAATTTTTGCAATGTGTATTTGTTAAAAAGCAAAGAGATTCCGTTTTGAGAATTCATTATTCAAACATTAATTATTCACTACAAGCCTGTCTTCTTACAATTAGGCCAGAACTACTTGTGGCTAACACACACAAACAAAGCAAATAAACAACAGAAGATGTTCACTTCTCTCTAAGGGCTGGCATCTCAGCTCTAACCATAACTGGAGTTGCCCAAGTGTGGGATGTTCTGTGGTTTTGGGTACTTTCACCTCCTGGCTCCATCCAGACACTGCCCTGGCAGCCACTGCAATCTCTGTCCTTGCCCAAGAGCTCCAGCTTCTCCTTCCTGCCTGCCCACCAGGGCAACTCAACAGAGACAAAGGCGCCTGCTCAGGTGCTGCAGGCCTCAACAGGAAGGATGGATTTGTTTCCTTTGAGATACATAAAATTGTGCCCCTGCAGGCCACAGAAACAGAGAAATCTCCTCTGGATAAAGGACTACTTCATAAATGAGTTTGTGTAACTATCAGAGAAACATTAATTAAATCTTACCTGTTTCTCTAATGTTTCATTGAGCTTCTGCTCTCTCTCCTCAAGCAGAATTTCACGTTTCAGCTCCCAGAGCTTCTCCTGTTCTTTCCGCTTTTCTTCACACAACATTAGCAAGTTTTCTTCTGCTTTTTCCTCCATCTTGGCAACCTTTTTTTCTATCTATTACATCCCAAAAATATTCACAATTAAAGCAATGCTACATCTGAGCAACTATCATATTCTGAATAAAGAAATGCAAGCCTCAGACCAGACCAAAGAGTTTCAATTAATGAAGAGGAGACTGACACAGTAAGCACAGAAAATCAGAGTTAAAGACCCTCTCAAGACTCTGCTTCTTTTTATAAAGGAAAATTCACACACAGAGCACTGAGAGAATAAATTCACTGTCACAACCTTCAGCTCCAGACAGACTCACATTTGTCCCAGAACTTCTGCATCCCCCTAATTCCTAAGAACCAGCACTAGCTTAATGAACTGGCATTGAATCCACTGTAAGAGCTGTCATAGCACATCTTACGGTTTTACAAATGATATACAGTCATAAAAATCTAACTTTTACAGGTCAGGAAGCGTTTAAGAAATTAAACAATGTGAAGTTCTATCTGATACACCAAATACTTGACCAACTCACCTTTAGTCTTAGGAAAGTTAAAAGTAGTGTCTCAGATTCCAGCTCTTTTATCAGATCACAAGAATCAGTTTCCTTCAGAAGAGAAAGGAATATTTTACATCAAGTTTGGTACTTAAACAATTGTTTTTTCAGTGGTCAAATTAATTAACAATAGTCCAATTCATGCCTGGAATCATCACTGCACCAACAGGCAACTCAATGAGAGAAGTTTGTTTTTTAAACACTAACATGAATTAAATACATCTCTTTGTTCCACAACCTTTTATAATATTTTCAGCAGATTTTCATATTTCTAGTAGAGGATTTGTAGTTCCAGTGCTGCACCGAATGAGATCCCCAAATAAGGCACTTCATATTAGACTGAATCAGAGTTTGTTCTCAGAATAAAAATGCCAGGAAATACTTAAAGATAATGTGATATAATTAAAGAGTATGGGCAGGAATGCAAGAAGAATCCACCTGAGGAGATGCAACAATTGGAACAGATTCTTTACCATAAGTAATGGAAGGAAAGCTCTGGTCAGTGTCCAGGTATCTGATCAACACACCAAACACTGCCAGCAGTACAACTGACTTCTGCAAGGAGGCTTTACATCCTCCCAGGACCTCAAGCTGTAATTCAGATTAAAGATAAACAGAAAAATCTTCATTTCAAAATAAGTATCCTTACCAATGTAAGCAGTAAGACTCACCGTATCAGTCTCTCCACTTATTTTGTTTGTCTCTGAATCTTCTTCTGAAGCAGATTCTGAATAAGAACTCCTCTTGGGGTCACTTCTATCTGTATCACAACAACAAAGTTAGTGTGCTCTTCTGTGGAGGTCTATAGGGCAAGTCAATAGACCACCAGGTTCTTTAAAGGCAGAGATAATTTCAAAATGATTGTGTGTACCAGTGAAAAAGATCTGTGCTGTTTCTGGCTCTGATACACTCATGAGCAGATATGGATCACATGAGCATTTAGCTTTAAGTGACAAACAAATGTGATCCACTTTTCAGAAGGGCTGACACCCACCTGTTATAGGAACAAAGATTCCAGAGTACTTTAATTTTTTACTTTATTCTTTACTTTTTGACTTTAAACAAAAACAGAGCACCCAAAAGATACTAGAAATCAAGAGATTAATTTAAACTCCAAAGGTCTTAGTACGTTTGCTTAAAATCCTTTTGTGAATATGCAAGAATACAACAATTTCTTATCCCCAAGTTTCAGCACATACATTAAAAAAAAAACAAAAAAAAAACAAAAAAAAAAAAACAACCCAGAAATTGTGTATGAATGGAACTTTACCATTAATATCAGAAATATCAAGGTCTGGTAGCTTCATTTTCCCTTCATCTAATAGAGTGGACTGCAAGTCACCCTTCTCAAAACCACCCTGATTCAGTGAGCTGAGGTCAACACCTGTAGAAAGAAGCTGTTAGCAGACTAGAAGAATTGGAACTAGAAGCATTAGGTTCAGCACAAATTCACAGTTCCAGGTGTAGAGGCCCAGGGAAGCTGATCTGGTCCCATCCCTCCCCTCACACCCTACTATGACCTGAGAAATGCTCTTTAGGCCTCAGCCTTGATGAACTGCACCTGGACAAGCCCCTCCTGAGCTGAACAGAAACACTCTCTCTTCCCAGCAATGTCTAACAAGCCCCTGTTTTCTAATGAACTGCCTTAAAAACTTATTCTTCTTGAACCTCCAAAGAAAGTTACCAAATGGAATTGTGGCCAGAATGGAAAAAGCCCACTCTCTATTGACCCCTCTGAGGTCCCAATTCACTGAAAACAAGGGAATAATTTGTCTCAATAACTGGATATCTGTGGACACAACCAAGGACCATCAGTAATACCAGACAGGAACCATTGGTAATAACAAAAGAAGTAAAAATGAATGGTTTTAAACAGGGATTTTCAGTCACTCACATTTGATTTAACAGAAAGATGAAATAAAAAAAAAAGCAGAGTAATGGTGAGGGTATAGGAAAAGAACTGAGGGTATAGGAAAAGAAGGCAGGAAAGACCCAATCACTCAATTCCACAGCCAGGACCTAATTTGTCTTAGCCCCACATAAAGTTTCTTAATTTCTTTTGCATACAAATAATAACTGCCAGTGATGCCAGTAATACAAAATATCAATATCTTAGAGTTGTTAAGAGTTTCACTGGCTGGAAATACAAAAGAATAGCTTTTAAACGCTGGGAAAACCTACTAGCAGAAGTTTCATGTTTCTGAGAGACAACCGATCTTGCTTTAGTTCTAGAAGACGGCAGAGAACTACTTGATGAAGAGGAACTTGATGAAATATCCTGAAAATAAAGAAAACAGCTAAGTCAGAACATAACCAGCAATATCCTACCTTCAACTTAAATGCTGACAATACACAACTAAATCCCAGGGCACCTCGCTGCTTTGCAAGTCACCCGAGTACAGTTCCAAGCTCGCACCTGACAACACACCATCACTCCCTCATAACCCCAGCAGAGATGGTTTTCCCCTGGTTTTGGGGGGTTTTTTTTTGTGTTTGTTTTTTTTTTTTTGTTCCCTCGCTACCACACGTCCAAGCCGTCCATCACACCTTTGCTGCCTTTCGCTGAGCGACGCCTGAGCTCGGCACCTTCTTGCTGTGTTTCTTATCGAACTGCAGGTAGCGAGACTGCACGATCCTTCCTCCTGAAAGGGCAAAGAGAGCTCAGCCGGGCCCACCGCGAGGCTTCCCGCCTCAGGTCGGCTCCCCCTCAGCCGGGCCGGGCTCCCCCCTCAGCCGGGCCGGGCTCCCGCCTCAGCCGGGCCGGGCTCCCGCCTCAGCCGGGCCGGGCTCCCGCCTCAGCCGGGCCGGGCTCCCCCCTCAGCCGGGCCGGGCTCCCCCACTCAGCCAGCGCGGCTCCACCCTCACCCCACGCTACCTTTCCGCTTAGCTTTCGGCGTTTGTCCGGCCGCCGCCGCCGCGCCGCTGCCCTCCGAGGACATGGTGCCGAGGCAGCGGCGGGCGGTGAGGGCGCGGGCACGGGTCGCTGCCCTCAGCCGCGAGCCGCCCCGGCCGCCATTCCGTTTGAATCACCGCGCAGGCGCGGTGAGGAGCGGTGAGGGGGCGGCAGCGCGCCCCCTGGCGGCGCGGAGGAATGAAACGAGCCTTAGACCCGCCTGCGCTGCTTTTAGAGAAAGCGATGTTTATTTAAATCGCTTTAAATAAAGCAATAAAGGAGGGCCTGGCTACTCCTGCAGCACGGCTGGCCCTAAAAGTGCTCCTTGCCGGTGGGAGGTAGCTTTAACTGGTGAAGTCTGTTCTCTACTGGAGAGAAACCAGCAGAGGCCACAAAGATGATGATGAGGAGTCTAGAGCAGCTCTGTGTTGAGAGGAGAGACTGTGGGAGCTGAGCCTGGTTAGTCCAGAGAAGAGAGGGCTGAGAGAGGATCCCATCAATCCTATATAAATATATAAACATATAAATATCTCCAAGAGGATGGTGCCACTGCTCACTGGTGCGCAGTGACAGGACGAGGAGTAATGGGGGTAAACTGAAACACAAGACAAATCTCTCAACGTGAGGAAGAACTTTTTTACGTTGAGGGTGTCCGAGGACTGGAACAGCTGCTCAGGGAGGCTGCGGAGTCTCCCTCTCTGGAGGGACGTGTTCCTGTGCCATCTGCTCCAGGCGACCCTGGGTGATCTCCAGATGTCCCTTCCAACCCAAACAATCCTGTGATTCTGTGAACCGCTGTGCCGCAGTGCTCTGACACATCCACCACCAGGCACACCACAACCCCCGCAGCGGCGGGCGGGGACGCTCCCGGCCCAGCAGAACTCTGGGTTTCTTTGCTTTTGACAAGAATCCACCCCCGCTGCCTCAGACAGTCATACAGTCATACAGCCAGCCAGCCAGCACCTGCAGCCGCCGGCAACCGCGGCGGGGGCGAGCGGCGGGCTCGGGGCTCGAACCCGGGTCCTCCCGCCGCACCCCCGGCACTCCCCCGGGCCGCGCATGCGCGGGGCGGCGCGGCGCTGAATGGGCGCGCCCCGGCCCCCCCGCCACCCGGAAGTGGCGCGCGCGGGGGCCTGTGGCGGCGGCGGGGCCGGGCGGCCGCGCTTCGACACCGGCGCAGGTAACGGGCCCCGCGCTCCTCGTTCCCCTGCTCCTCATCCCTCCCGCTCCTTCGCTATGGCCTACCCAGCCCTCTGCTGGCCGTGCCTCGCAGCCACCGGGTCTCGCAGCGAGCGCTGTGGGCGGCCGGGGTAGCTCTGAGGGGGCGTCGGTTTTGAGGGGATCTGTGAGGGTCGGTGCCCCGGTGCAGGTGTGAGGGAGCGCGGGAGGGTCGGCTCTGAGGGGATATGTGGGAGGGTCGGCTCTGAGGGGCTGTCTGGCGGTCAGCTCCAGGCTGCGGCAGCCGCCCTCAGGAGCCCGGGGCCGGAGCGGTTCCCCGGGACGCCCTGAGGAGCTCGGGGGTGCTCGGGGCCGGGGGCCGTGCCCCGCTCCGGGGCTGTGCTGAGTGACTTTGTGCCAGCTGTGCCCGAGGAGCTGGCGGTGCCCAGGGGAAGGGAAGTGTGTGACTGCCGGCTGTGCCTCCCGTCTCTCGGGCAGAGCCTGCCCGCTGAGCGGGGCACGGTGTCGCTTCCAGCTCCTGGTTTTTTCCGTCCCCTGCTTGTGATTTTTCAGCTACACAGTGTTCTGTGATGTCTCCAACTCTCGGTATGAACAGCCTGTAATCTTTCAGACAGATATCGCATGATCTTTCAAAAAATTCGTTAAAACTCTCAGGGTTCTATGGTTTCTTTGTGTTATTTTTGAGCAGCTCTTGACAGTTGATGCTGCTGCTGTGCTGGGATCGTGCTTTATCGTGATGACTGTCATTGCCCAATTGAGTCCTCTTGCTCTGTGGATGTCGATAGTGCTCTGTCTTCTTGGCAAGCTCAGTTTTGCAATCTCTGGATAGTAAAACTTTTGCAAGCTAGGAACGTACTTTGTTACATGTTTCTAGACTAAAAGTATCAGACAACTATCCTGACTCATGACAATTCTGGCCGTCGGTCTGATACAGGTATGTGTGATCCTGGTGGAAGATGAATTCCCAGTATCATTTTAGCTTTGTTTTCTGTTACTCTGTAAACATTTTGGCAAAGTTCTTGCCCAGCTTTATTTGCAATTCGCGTTTGTGAAAAGTGAGAAGCACTTTGGATCCAAACGAGTTCAGCATTCTTTGATTTCACCTTCTGGAAAAGGGTGGCAGTGGAGCAAAGGGCTGGAGATGATCTCAAGCTGCTGGCAGATGCAATTAGCCTTTCAAAGATGTCATCAGCATCCTCCCACGGTACTCCTAGAGGTGGATCGGTATCGGTGCGTCTGCCAGGCTGTTTGCAAATAAGTTTGTCATGGGTAATTAGGAGCTCTTTGATTTCAGGCCTGTTAGCTGGAATCCAGGGCTGAAGAACTTGCCCTAAAGTAACAGCGTGGGGTAACCTTGCATTCCGGTTTAGGATGTTGGTGTCACACCCACAAGTTTTAGTGAGCCCTGGGTGTCTTTAACGCAGGATCTTGTCAGGAACAAATCCATTTAATGTAGGGGAAGCAGCTTGGGGAGCATTTAATACATATTTATATTAGCTCCAAGATCCATTGTGGCTTTTTGTAGAAAATCTTTCATCCTGGGGGTCTTTTTGTCTTTGCACTGCTATGGGGTTTTCTTCCTGCCCTACATCTGAAGTCCAGTAACATTGTGCTTTTCAGGATGATGCATCTGAGGCCAGTTCCTCAATCTTTAATCCTTAATTATTCACATAAAACTTGGGAGTTACTGCAGTAATGCAAAGTGCTTTGTGGAATTGGACAGTTTGGGGCTTTTTTTTTTTTTTTTTGTCACTGTGCTTGAACATTTGTCTCAACAAAAAGCTTTTTCACAAGTTGAATGTTGCAGCTCTGCAATGACAGCTGCCTGCACAAACTGTCCATTCCCAGTGGGAGGATTCCCAGCTCTGGGCTTTTCTGTGCAACCCAAAAAGCCCGTGGAACTGAATAATTTAGGAAGAGTAAATGCAGCTGATGAAAGATTTAAACGAGGTTCACCTAGAAAGGAATACTCTGTGCAGACAGTTTCTGACCCATAGTGATTCAAACATTAGGCCTCTTGAATAATCCTGTACATGAATAACATGTTTGACTCACATGCACACTGAGGCTAAATATGGCCTTTTCCTCAGCTACACGGTCAAAGGGCAGGATTTGCATATCCTAGGCTTTTAAAAGGGAAGAATTCCTAAAAAATGCAACAGTATTGGCTATCTCAGCAGTCAAGGAAAAGAGTGAAAGACTCTGATTCAGCAAAATGTTTTGGCTCAGTGCTTTTTTGTGAATTTGAAGGCTGAAGGTGTTTATCACATTTCTAAGAAACAAGGCCTGTTTATGCTAATATCAAGGAGAAGTAAAGCCTGAGATGCTGATATGGGTTTATTTTTCTAATAGGAAGGATAGGAATGTCTTTATTTCCCAAAATGAAAATTCAAAGGTTTTGTCTGTAGAATATTGTGTTTTCTTGGTGTATCAAGTGACTTAAGCGTGGCTTGTGGAGTTGCTTTTATCAAGGCTTTATTGTGTTGTGTGTCTCTAATTACCAAATGAAACTCAATGCAGATTCCAGAAAAATCTGCCCTTTCTATAAAGACCATTGATACTAAGGAATAAAAGTGTTTTTAAAGCTATTTTTGACATGTGTACATTCTGTCCACACAGAAGTTCAGTCTAAAGTTTCTTCAAAAAATTTCTCATCAGTGTAAATGCAACATTAGAGCAGTGAAACTTTTATTTCCTTTGTTGACAGCTGTAGTGCTGTTAAGGAAAAAAATTAAGAGAACTACAAAAGGTGGTAGAATGACCCCCAAAGTTCTTTTGGCTTGCATTCTTTACCTCTGAGCCTTTCAGTTGCTTTGCCTTGATTCCTCAGCTGGGCCACATTTTCTGAATCATAGTCTTGTGTGCATCTGTAACTCTGTGACATCACAGTTTTATAAGCTAATAATATCTAAGATCCCTGTAAAGCCAGATAAGATGTCTGTGTTTTGAGGTGAGATTGTACCTTTGAGTCATTCAGAGGAAGTGGAAGCTGCATCAGGGCTGGTTTAGGGTGGGGATTGGGATCAGGCTGCCAGGAGCAGGTAACTGAGAAGGAACTGCCTGTAACAAAAGTGATTTCTTTGACTTTTTCCTGTGTTACACTGCATTGCAGCCCAGCTTCTCCTTTGTCAGACACTCTGGGGCAGTAACTTCCCCGTAGGGTGGATTGCAAAGAGTAGTAACAAATGTGTTGTAATTTTTGTGTGGTCCATTCGGAGCTCCTCCTTTTGGAGCAGAAAATCCAAGAGCTTTTAAAGAAAAGCAAGGATCTAAAGTTGTTTAGTCCAGCTGAATTTTTTATAACCATTGAAAACATTGAAGTGTGACTAGAACCTGAAGTGATTTTCAAGTAATCTACAAATGCCTGGAATACTGAAAAAAAAATTAAAATCAATTATGCTCAATTAACAGTGCCTGTCCTTATGACATGAGGTAGGAAAAGGATCTTTACCTTACCTGTTAATTGCACAGTTAATTGTGGAAATTTTAAAGTGTCTCTGTAGCCTGATTTGCTGGAAGTTCCTTGCTTTGGAAATCAAGGTTGGTAATAGCTGAGTATTTTTGAAATTGCTAGATGTTTTCAATTTGACCAGACAGATTGGTCTCTTTTGGGGATGGCCACTGGCAGTTCTGGTGTTTAAAAATATCAGGGACCAAGTACCTGTGATTCATTTCCACTTTTGGTGAGCAATGGGAAAAGCTGGAATCTTCCCCTTTGAGGAATGCAGCAGTGGAAATGCAACATGAAAATGTGATGAACTGAAATATTATACAGTTCATCCTCAACAATTTTGCTGTAATGGTAGCTTTCCCTTTTTAGCTTCACCATGATTCATTGACTAAATATGTGACTTCAAATTGTAGCCTTATTTAAACTAAAGAGAAACCCTACACTGATTGAGGCAAAACTCTCTGCTGGAGTTCCACTCTGTTATCAAGTGGACACTGTTGGCTTTAATGCATATCAAAAATTA